TGTTTGTCTCAAAATGTGGGGGTAACTGCGTTTTTTTTTTTTAACAACCATACTTAGGCACATTAGCTATTATTGTTCGGTTAATATATGTATGTCTGTTAAGCGAATATAGTAATCAGAGTTGTGTTGTTGGTACAGTTTGTGATTCTTAAGCGATTGGGGTCTTTTTTTTATTAACGTAAACAATGACATAATGGCTCTTGTTTACATAGCGTTGGTTAAGATAATATAGTTTGATGACCGGACAGCAGTTTATTACCATTTGATTGTGTTACTTCCTTGTACTGATTTAAATTACCCGTTAAACGATACTAAGAAGAGAGAGAAACGATTGAAGAGAAAGGTAAACAAAAGAAGAAAAACGAAAGAAAAGAAGAGAAACGAAAGAAAAAGAAGAAAAACAAAAGAAGAAAAACGAAAGAAAAGAAAAAAACGAAAGAAAAAAGAAGAGAAACGAAAGAAAAGAAGAAGAAAAACGAAAGAAAAGAAGAGAAACGAAAGAAAAAGAAGAAAAACGAAAGAAAAGAAAGAAGAGAAACGAAAGAAATGAAAGAAGAGAAACGAAAGAAAATAAAGAAAAGACTCAACACTACATCTCACAGTTCACTACACTCGCCCATTTGTTATTATTACTGTAATAGGGCGTACTGGAGCATTACAATCATGGTTTATGCTCATTGTAACGTTAACCAACTTGTACAAAATAACAGTCATACTTGTGTCCAGTTATTGTGTGGGTCATCAATTTTAAAGTAATGAGAAGAAAAAAAAAATCAAAATGGAACTGGTTTGGTAATACTGCCACCCGCTATTATATTATACATTATTATTGTTATATATTGCTTCTTAGATACATGTTTTAGGACACCACCACCACCACCACGACTTGTCTAAAATCATTGCTTCTGTAAAAAAAAAATGGTAAAATTGTTATAGATCTGACCTATTACAGTGGGTCTTGATGATAAAGATTATATACCAATTTAAACTTTATTGTGCTCTGTGTGTGTGTGCAGGGGGGGTGGGGGGTTGTCTGCTGGTGAACTGTAAGATAATGGAGCATAAGATAATTCCTTCAGTTCTCTCATTATTCTTATATATAATTTAATTCTACTAAATTACCAAATACTCATTATATTATTACAGCCACTCAAAAAACTATCTGTACTCGAGGTGATCGATGAATCCCAGAATGAACACTGTAACTCCTGTTGTCTCGGTCGGGTTGTCAAAATCCTTCGTCCGTTGTGTCATATTTCTTCAACACAATTTTGTATAGATAGTTTTTTTTTATTTATAAGCACAATAAATTTTTCCTCAAAGGGCAGACCAACATTCAAGAGGACATTTTCTACAGTATTTTGAATGTTTGAGGGTTTGTATTTGTGTGTGTAGGTTAAGTTACAGTAAGGGAGTGGATGTAGGTAGGTTAGGTTACAGTAAGTACAGTATGGGTGTTTCTCATTCTGTAATTGTGTATTTTGGTGATTTGTATCCATAATACAGTCAAAGGGATAAGGGTGGTGTTAGGGTGTGAGGGTGGTGTTAGGGTGTGTGTGTGTGGTGCCAGGGGGTGAGAGTGGTGTCAGGGTGATGTCAGGGGGGTGAGGGGGAGGTGTATGCAGGCTGGGGTGTACTTTATCACCTGATCACCTTGTTAGTGCCACTGTTATCACCGTCATCGTCTCGAATCTACACCGCGAGGATAGAATGTTTTCACTTGGTGTGTACCGCCTCGCTAACACGCTCACCCACCCACACACGCTCACTTACGCACGCACGCACGATCACCCACCAACAGACGCACACACACACACACACGCACGCACACACACACACACACACACACACACACACACACACACACACACACTCCTCACAGACGCTCCACCCACCCCACTCACCCACCCCGCTCCCACACATACATCCCCTCCCCACACACCCACCCACGCTCACCCACCCACGCTCACCCACCCACACACGCTCACTCACACACCCACACACGCTCACTCACACACCCACACACGCTCACTCACCCACGCTCACCCACCCACACACGCTCACTCAGGGACAGGTTTAAGCATACTGTGTGTGAAATAGCACAACACTTCATCTCTAATGGCAAGATAGCCGACATATTAAGATTGTATCCACTTTTTGCACTTAGTAGCTATATCAGTTCCCATGTACAGAACCAAACACACAATGTGCTTGAATACTTCTCACGCAAATGTGAATAACAAATGTGCTACCAAACATATTGCCTCACACGCCTGTACTCACGCAGTTGCAAATAAGTTACCCTTTATGTATAGAACTAAACAAAGAATTGATTTCAAATACTGTGTAACATTCAGTGCCACAATATCCTGACCACGGGGGTTAGTTATACACACCCTTTGTGAACTGTGTAATCCTTTTCCGCTACCGCTCACAGGATGAGTATGGGGTGCACAATAAAGTAGCCTCTGTAAATGGCACACGCTCACTCACCCACACACGCTCACTTACCTACACACGCTCATGTACACGCTCATGAACTTTCGCTCCTGCATCATAGTCACCAACACACGCTCATCTATACAAGATAAACGTGGGGTTTTATTGTCAAGTTTATTCAATCGTATTTAATTATACCAAATCAAATTCATCGTAGGCAGAAAATTAAAATGTTGGTTAATTATAACTTATTAAGCGTTGATGACGTGATTGTTTAAATAACGTGATTTATTTTGTGATTATGACCGTGTGTGTGTGTGTGTGTGTGTGTGTTTGTGTGTGTGTGTGTGTGTGTGTGTTTGTGTGTGTGTGTGTGTGTGTGTGTGTGTGTTTGATGGCCCTCCCAGTACATTCAGTAACTTCCTCCCCTCCCAGTACTGCCCCATCCAGTAACCCCTCCCCTAGCACCCCCACCCCCATTCCCTTACTCCTGGTTCACTGACCTCAAAACACAACTAAATTAGAGGAACTCAAAATCGATTTAGGTAGTAAAGATAAGCCACTGATAATAATAAGGCCGGAATCACCTGAAGTACACCTGCACACACACACACCTGCACACACACCTGCACACACACAAAGGCCAGCCACCACACCTGTGCCTCTGTTACCGTGATGATGTTGATGATGGCAATTGTGTTGATCGAACTTAACCTCAACACAACAGCTATTTATTTCAGTTTATTACAGGTGTTTCATGTGATGTCCCTCTTTAAGAGCACCTGTGAGTGTGGGGGGCAGTCTTACAGGTGTAGTAGTAGTAATAGTAAGTGTTGTAGTAGTAGTTGTAGTTACAGCACTTGATTGAGAGTCTTTTGTGTGTAGCTTGAAAAAAAAAACGTGTTTGGAAGCCTTTTAGGTCAGTTTATATGTAACTATTTATCAAAACACACACACACACACACACACACACACAGACCGACCTATAAATGTGTGTGTGTGTGTGTGTGTGTGTGATACCTGAGTACACCTATGTTACCTGTCAAGTGTTTACGTGTAATAACTAATATCCACTTCTCTTCCTTCCACAGGTAAGTGAGAGTCCATGTGTGTGGTGATGAGCGTCTTGTAAGTACTGTATACCTGTATGATTAAGGTATACATACATGGTGAATTATGTATATTTACGGTGTGTCAAGTAGTTTCTCGAGTGTTTATCATAGTTTGGTGCTTATAACAGGAAGGACCTCAGATCTGGTCATTAGCCACGTCTACTGTAATGTATTGGGAGATAAATAATTATAATTATAAAGCCGCTCAGTCAAAATGATAATAATACCTCCTGACCAACACCGAACCTAATTATCCACACCTGTACCTCTTGATCCACACCTGTAACTTCCTGACCCACACCTGTAACCTCCTGACCCACACCTGTACTTCCTGACCCACACCTGTACTTCCTGACCCACAGCTGTACCTCCTGACCAAGATGGCTCTCTTGACCCACACCTGTGATTCCTGAAGGTGTGACAGTAGGTGGAAGCTGAGAGGTGGAGGGTGGAGGTTGAGAGGTAGGAGGAGGGTGGAGGTTGAGGTGTGATGAGGTTGGAGGAGTTGAGGTATGATGGAGGTTGAAGGTTGAGGTGTGATGGAGGGTGGAGGTTGAGGTGTGATGGAGGGTGGAGGTTGAGGGTGTGATGGAGGTTGGAGGTTGAGGTGTGATGGAGGGTGGAGGTTGAGGGTGTGATGGAGGGTGGAGGTTGAGGGGTGTGATGGAGGGTGGAGGTTGAGGGTGTGATGGAGGGTGGAGGTTGAGGGTGTGATGGGAGGTTGGAGGTTGGAGGGTGTGATAGAGGGTGGAGGTCATAAATTAGGTCGGCACCTCAGGTTGTGGAGTGTCGTGTTCTTATCAGATGGCAGGGTCGTGTTGTCATTTTATCTAAGGGGTGTTTGGTCCTCCCTCCCTCCTTTGGTTTCTCCTTTGGTCATGTAGTGGCCTCACCCACCTTGGTCTGTCCCTTAAGGGGTAGCTAGGCTCCCTCCCCCTCCTAGCCCTTGTTGTCTGTTGTCTGGTTCTCTCTCACCTCCCCCTTCACCCCTTGGTCCTCTTTAGGGGTATCTGATACCCTCTTTCGTGAGATAATTTTGCCCCTGACCCTTTCGTGGTCTGTTCTTCAGGGGCGTCTCAGCCCTCCCCCCTTGTAATGACTCAGATATTGGGCATCGATGGGGGGGTTAGGAGACCCTATGACCCAGTGTTGGGTACTGGGGAGGGCATGAGAGCCATAATGACCCCAGTGTTGGGTACTGGGGGAGGGCATGGTGCCCAGAGTGTTGGGTACTGGGAGGGGCATGAGGCCCTGTGACCCAGTGTTGGGTACTGGGAGGGGCAGGGGCCTGTGGCCCGAGTGTTGGGTACTGGGGAGGGCATGAGAACCATATGACCCAGTGTTGGAGTGGGGAGGCATGAGGGGCCATGTGGCCAGTGTTGGGTACTGGGGAGGGGCATGAGGGACCATGTGGCCAGTGTTGGGTACTGGGGAGGGGCATGAGGGACCCTATGGCCCAGTGTTGGGTGCTGGGGAGGGGCATGGGGACCCTGTGGCCAGAGTGTTGGAGGCTGGGGAGGGCATGAGGGACCATAATGACCCCGAGTGTTGGGTACTGGGGAGGGGCATGAGGACCATAATGACCCGAGTGTTGGGTACGGGGAGGGGCATGAGGGACCATAATGACCCAGTGTTGGGTACTGGGGAGGGCATGAGGGCCATGTGGCCCAGAGTGTTGGGTACTGGGGAGGGGCATGAGGGGCCATGTGGCCAGAGTGTTGGGTACTGGGGAGGGGCATGAGGGCCATAATGACCCCGAGTGTTGGGTACTGGGGAGGGGCATGAGGGACCATATGACCCGAGTGTTGGGTACTGGGGAGGGCATGAGGGCCAGCCAGCCAGAGTTTGGGTACTGGGGAGGGCATGAGGGGCCATAATGACCCAGAGTGTTGGGTACTGAGGGGCATGAGGACCATAATGACCCCGAGTGTTGGGTACTGGGAGGCATGAGGCCATAATGACCCCGAGTGTTGGGTACTGGGGGAGGGCATGAGGGACCATAATGACCCCAGTGTTGGGTACTGGGGAGAGGGGCATGAGGGGCCATGTGGCCGAGTGTTGGGTACTGGGGAGGGCATGAGGGGCCATGTGGCCAGGTGTTGGGTGCTGGGGAGGGGCATGAGGGCCATAATGACCCGAGTGTTGGGTACTGGGGAGGGGCATGAGGGCCATAATGACCCCAGTGTTGGGTACTGGGGGAGGCATGAGGACCGGGTTGGTAGGGAGGGGCATGAGGGGCCATAATGACCCAGTGTGTTTGGGTACTGGGGAGGGGCATGAGGGACCATGTAATGACCCCAGTGTTGGTACTGGGGAGGGGCATGAGGGGCATGTGGCCAGAGTGTTGGGTACTGGGGAGGGGCATGAGGGGCCATGACCCCAGTGTTGGGTACTGGGGAGGGGCATGAGGGACCATGTGGCCAGGTGTTGGGTACTGGGGAGGGGCATGAGGGGCCATATGTGGCCAGTGTTGGGTACTGGGGAGGGCATGAGGGGCCATAATGGCCAGAGTGTTGGGTACTGGGGAGGGACATGAGGGCCATAATGACCCCGAGTGTTGGGTACTGGGGAGGGGCATGAGGGGCCATAATGGCCAGAGTGTTGGGTACTGGGGAGGGGCATGAGGCCCTGTGGCCCAGTGTTGGGTACTGGGGAGGGGCATGAGGGACCATGTGTGAGTGTTGGATGCTGGGGAGGGCATGAGGGACCATAATGACCCCAGTGTGGGGTACTGGGGAGGGGCATGAGGGACCATAATGACCCGAGTGTTGGGTACTGGGAGAGGGCATGAGGGGGCCATGTGGCCCAGTGTTGGGTACTGGGGAGGGCATGAGGGGCCCTGTGGCCAGTGTTGAGGTGCTGGGGAGGGCATGAGGGGACCATAATGACCCCAGAGTGTTGGGTACTGGGGAGGGCAGGGGCCATAATGACCCAGAGTGTTGGGTACTGGGGAGGGGCATGAGGGGCCATGTGGCCCCGAGTGTGTTGGAGTGCTGGGGAGGGCATGGGGACCATGTGGCCAGGTGTTGGGTACTGGGGAGGGCATGGGGGACCATGTGGCCAGTGTTGGAGTACTGGGGAGGGGGCATGAGGGGCCATGTGGCCCCAGAGTGTTGGGTGCCTGGGGAGGGGCATGAGGGACCATTGGTGACCCCAGTGTGGGTACTGGGGAGGGCATGAGGGACCATAATGACCCCGAGTGTTGGGTATAGGGAGGGCATGAGGGACCATGTGGCCAGTGTGTTGGGTACTGGGGAGGGCATGAGGACCATAATGGCCAGTGTTGAATGCTGGAGGAGGGCATGAGGGGCCTGAGCCAGTGTTGGGTACTGGGGAGGGCATGAGGGGCCATAATGACCCGAGTGTGGGTACTGGGGAGGAGGGCATGAGGGGCCATAATGACCCAGAGTGTGGGTACTGGGGGGAGAGGGCATGAGGGCATGTGGCCAGTGTTGGAGTGCTGGGGAGGGGCATGAGGGACCATAATGACCCCAGTGTTGGAGTACTGGGGAGGGCATGAGGGACCATGTGTGAGTGTTGGGTACTGGGGAGGGCATGAGGACCATAATGACCCGAGTGTTGGGTACTGGAGAGCAGGGGCCATGGCCAGTGTTGGGTACTGGGGAGAGCATGAGGGACCGGTGAAGTGTTGGGTACTGAGAGGGCATGAGGACCATGTGGCCAGTGTTGAGGTACTGGGGAGGGCAAGGGACCATAATGACCCGAGTGTTGGAGTACTGGGGAGGGGCATGAGGGCCATGTGGCCAGAGGTGTTGGGTACTGGGGAGGGGCATGAGGGGCCATGACCCCAGTGTTGGGTGCTGGGGGAGGGCATGAGGGACCATAATGAAGCCAGAGTGTTGGAGTACTGGGGAGGGGCATGAGGGGCCATGTGGCCAGTGTTGGGTACTGGGGAGGGGGCATGAGGGACCATAATGACCCCGAGTGTTGGGTACTGGGGAGGGGCATGAGGGACCATAATGACCCGAGTGTTGGGTACTGGGAGGGGCATGAGGACCATGTGGCCAGAGTGTTGGGTGCAGGGGGAGGGCATGAGGGCCATGGAGCCCAGTTTGGAGTCTGGGGAGGGGCATGAGGGGCCATGTGGCCAGGTGTTGGGTACTGGGGAGGGGCATGAGGGACCATGACCCAGAGTGTTGGGTACTGGGGAGGGCATGAGGGGCCATATGACCGAGTGTTGGAGTGGGGGAGGGCATGAGGACCATGGCCAGTGTTGGGTACTGGGGAGGGGCATGAGGGCCATAGCCAGTGTTGGGTACTGGGGAGGGCATGAGGGCCTGTGGCCAGTGTTGGGTACTGGGGAGGGCATGAGGGACCATATGACCCCAGTGTTGGTACTGGGGAGGGGCATGAGGGACCATGTAATGAGTGTTGGGGTACTGGGGAGGGCATGAGGGACCATAATGACCCAGTGTTGGGTACTGGGGAGGCATGAGGGACCATGTGGCCAGGTGTTGGGTGGGGAGGGCATGAGGGGCCATAATGACCCAGTGTTGGGTACTGGGGAGGGGCATGAGGGGCCATAATGACCCTGAGTGTTGGGTACTGGGGAGGCAGGGGACCATAATGACCCAGTGTTGGGTACTGGGGAGGGCATGAGGAATATGACCCCAGAGTGTTGGGTACTGGGAGGGGCATGAGGGGCCAGCAATGACCCATGTTGGGTACTGGGAGGCATGAGGGACCATATGACCTGAGCAGCAGAGGGGCATGAGGGGCCATATGACCTGAGTGTTGGGTACTGGGAGGGGCATGAGGGCCATAATGACCTGAGTGTTGGGTGCACTGGGAGGCAGGGACCATAATGACTGAGTACTGGGAGGCATGAGGGACCATAATGACCCTGAGTGTTGGGTACTGGGGAGGGGCATGGGGCCAACAGACCTGAGTGTTGGGTACTGGGGAGGCATGAGGGACCATAATGACCCGAGTGTTGGGAATTGGGAGGCATGAGGGGCCATAATGACCTGGAGTGTTGGGTACTGGGAGGGCATGAGCCATAATGACCCGAGTGTTGGGTACTGGGGAGGGGCATGAGGGACCATAAGACCCTGAGTGTTGGGTACTGGGGAGGCATGAGGGGCCATAATGACCCGAGGTTGGGTACTGGGAGGGGCATGAGGGCACCATGGCCTGAGGTTGGGTACGGGAGGCATGAGGGACCATGACCCTGAGTGTTGGGTACTGGGAGGCATGGGCCATAATGACCGATGTTGGGCATCGGGGAGGCATGAGGACCATAATGACCGAGTGTTGGGTACTGGGAGGGCAATGAGGGGCCATAATGACCCCTGAGTGTTGGGTACTGGGAGGCATGAGGGCCATGACCCGAGTGTTGGGTACTGAGGGGCATGAGGGCATGACCCTGAGTGTTGGGTACTGGGGAGGGCATGAGGGGCCATAATGACCCGAGTGTTGGGTGCATTGGGAGGGGCATGAGGCCATAATGACCCGGAGGTACTGGGAGGGGCTGAGGGGCGCAATGACCCCTGAGGTGGTGGGTACTGGGAGGGCATGAGGGGCCAGAATGACCCGAGTGTTGGGTACGGGAGGGGCATGAGGGGCCATAATGACCCTGAGTGTTGGGTACTGGGGAGGGGCATGAGGGGCCACAATGACCCTGGAGGTTGGGTACTGGGAGGGGCATGAGGGGACCACACACCCGAGTGTTGGGTACTGGGAGGGCATGAGGGACCATAATGACCCGAGTGTTGGTACTGGGGAGGCATGAGGGGCCACAATGACCCTGAGTGTTGGGTACTGGGGAGGGCATGAGGGACCATAATGACCCGAGTGTTGGGTACTGGGAGGGGCAAGGAGCCATACGACCTGAGGGTTGGGCAGGGGCAGGCAGACCTGAGGCAGCACTGGGAGGCATGAGGCTACAATGACCCCGGAGTGTTGGGCACTGGGGAGGGGCATGAGGGCCATACCAACCCCGAGTGTTGGGGTACTGGGAGGGGCATGAGGGGCCACAACCCGAGTGTTGGGTACTGGGGAGGCATGAGGGCATGACCCCGAGGTTGGGTACTGGGAGGGGCAGGGCCATAATGAGGAGAGGCACTGAGGGCATGAGGGGCCATATGACCCGAGTGTTGGGGTACTGGGAGGGGCATGAGGGACCACAATGACCCTGGAGGCAAGTTGGGAGGGGCATGAGGGCCACAATGACCCCTGAGTGTTGGGACTGGGAGGGGCATGAGGGACTCAATGACCCTGAGTGTTGGGGTACTGGGGAGGGCATGAGGGACCATAATGACCCGAGTGTTGGGTACTGGGAGGGGGCATGAGGGGCCATGATGACCTGAGTGTTGGGCACTGGGAGGGGCATGAGGGGCTGGTACGATCCCTGAGTGTTGGGTACTGGGAGGCATGAGGGGCCATAATGACCCTGGAGGTGGGTACTGGGAGGGGGAGGCCATAATGACCCGAGTGTTGGGTACTGGGAGGCACAGAGGGCCATATGACCTGGAGTGTTGGGTACTGGGGAGGCATGAGGGAGCACGACTGGAGTGTTGGGTACTGGGAGGCATGAGGGGCCATAATGACCTGAGTGTTGGGCACTGGGAGGCATGAGACCATAATGACCTGAGGCAGGCTGGGAGGGCATGAGGGGCAATGACCCCTGAGGTTGGGTACTGGGAGGGGGCATGAGGGGCTGGTAATGACCCGGAGTGTTGGGCACTGGGAGGGGCATGAGGGCCATGACCGAGTGTTGGGCACTGAGGCATGAGGGGCCATAATGACCTGGGAGGGCACTGGGAGGGGCATGAGGGCCATAATGACCCCGAGTGTTGGCACTGGGAGGCATGAGGGGCATGACCGAGTGTTGGGTACTGGGAGGGCATGAGGCCATAATGACCTGAGGTTGCACTGAGGGGCATGAGGGACCAAATGACCTGTACACTGGGAGGGGCATGAGGGGCCATAACACCTGAGCAAGGTACTGAGGCGAGGGCCATGACCTTGAGGTTGGGCACTGGGGAGGCATGAGGGGGTCATACGACCCCTGAGGCACTGGGAGGGCATGAGGACCACAATGAGCCCGGAGTGGTGTGCCTGGGGAGGGCATGAGGGGCCATGACCCCGAGTGTTGGGCACTGGGAGGCATGAGACTACATGACCCGAGTGTTGGGCACTTGGGAGGCAGAGGCCATAAGACCCGGAGGTTGTACTGGGAGGGGCATGAGGGGCCAGCATGACCTGAGGTTGGGCACTGGGAGGCATGAGGGGCTCATGACCCTGAGTGTGGGGCACTGGGGAGGGCATGAGGACTAATGACCTGAGGGAGGGGTACTGGGAGGGCATGAGGGCCATAATGACCCTGGGAGGTTGGCACTGGGCATGAGGCTGCATGACCCCTGAGGTTGGGTACTGGGAGGGGCGAGGCTATAATGACCCGAGTGTTGGGCACTGGGGAAGGAGGGGCCATAATGACCCGAGCTGGGGCACTGGGAGGCATGGGCTACAATGACCTGAGTGTTGGGCACTGGGAGGCATGAGGCCATAATGACCTGAGTTGGTATCAAAGATACATGACCCGAGTGTTGGGTACTGGGGAGGGCATGAGGGGCCATAATACCCGATGTTGGGGTACTGGGGAGGCATGAGGGGCTAATGACCAGAGTGTTGGGCACGGGAGGCATGAGGCTCACGACCGAGGTTGGGCACTGGGAGGCGCAGGGGCCATAATGACCCGGAGTGTTGGGTACTGGGGGAGGGCATGAGGGACCATAATGACCCCGAGTGTTGGGTACTGGAGACATGAGGGCCATAATGACCTGAGCAGCACTGGGAGGCATGAAATAATGACCTGAGGGTACTGGGAGGGCATGAGGCCATAATGACCTGAGAGTTGGGGCACTGGGAGGCATGAGGCCATAGACCTGGAGAAGTACTGGGAGGGGCATGAGGGGCCATAATGACCTGAGTTGGGTACTGGGAGGCATGAGGACCATAATGACCCGAGTGTTGGGTACTGGGAGGCATGAGGGGCCATAAGACCCCGAGCACTGGGAGGCATGAGGGGACCATATACCTGAGGCTGGGGGGGCATGAGGGGCCAGGACCTGAGTGTTGGGTACTGGGAGGGGCATGAGGGCCATACACCTGAGGTACTGGGGAGGCATGAGGGACCAATGACCGAGTGTTGGGTACTGGGAGGGCATGAGGGACCATAATGGCCTGAGTGTTGGGCCTGGCCGCCTGACAGGTTTATCTGCAGGTCTTGGACGACAAGCAACACGCCCTACAAGATACATAACCCAGCCAGCCAGCCTCCACTACAGCCAGCCAGGCCCTCTACTGCAGCCAGCCAGCGCCACACACTCACCAGCCAGGCCCCCACTGCAGCCAGCTAGCCACACACACCAGCCAGGCCCCCCACCGCAGCCAGCCAGCCACACACCCCCAGCCACCACAGCCAGTCAGCCTCTACCGCAGCCAACCAGCCAGCCACACACACCCAGCGAGGCCCCACCACAGCCAGCCAGCCACACGCCCACAATCTCCCAGCCAGTTTTAGTCTCCTTTCTAGTCAGTCTCCCAAGCTGGTCAATCTCACCTTCCCAGTCAGCCAGTCATTTACGACAGATGCCCGCAGACTTTCCCCTGTCCCACCTTTCCTCTCCTCCCACTCCTCTGTCCCACCTTTCTCTCCCACCTCTCACTATTCTTTTCCTCCATATCCTCTCCCCGAGCAGAGATTCTGAAACCCATGACGAAGAATATAGGTAAAGTGTCAGTGAAGCTTCGAGGTTTGAGTCTAGACGGGGAACCTTTACCAGAATACTTGTCGTGGGTTTCAGAATATATGGTACATTAGTTACGGAAGTGTAGAGACTTGTTTTGGCTGTACATATTTAATAGTTATGAGGGGGGGTGGAGGAGGTAGAGGGGGAAGACTGGTGGAAGAAGGGAGGAGGAGACGAGGATGGAGGGAGGAAGACTGAGGGAGGAGGGAGGAAAGGGATGGGGGATTAGGGAGGCTTGTCGTGACCAGTAGTAATTGTGTGGTGGTGGTGGTGCTGCCCTCATCACTTTAAGGTTCACCTGATGACACCCGGTGACTCCTTGTGACACCTGATGACACCCGGTGACTCCTTGTGACACCTGGTGACACCCGGTGACTTATAGTAATAGCTCGTTGAAGGTTCCTGGTGACAGCTTTGGACACCTGGGTATAAAGAGGTGACATATACCTGGTGAGACTTGGTGCCTTGTGGTGAAAACTAGTGCCCTGTATAGCACTTGTCTGTTATATCCGTGTGTGTGTGTGTGTGTGTGTGTGATGGCATATATCTTCCCACCTATATGCCACCCCACCCACATGACACCCCACCCACATATCACCATCCACCCCCAAACCACTACCCCACCCACATACCACCACCCCACCCACATGCCACACCCCCCACCCCACATATCACCATCCACCCCAAACCACTACCCCACCCACATGCCACCACCCCACCACACGCCACTACCACCCAACACCCCACAACACCCCCACCACACCACCACCCCACCCACAGGACGGAAGCCCCCTGTAGTGGGCATGTATGCGTTGGCCTCCCGAACCTTGAGACAGACTCGGTAATTATTCCTGGCCAAATCCTTCACTCGTGATGTAGAGCAACGGCCGCCCATCTTATCTGATATCTCGTTGCCAGCTTCTCTTAGAATCGTAATTATCCGTAATCAGATCAGCAGGGATGACATGCTAACGACCAATTATCGTTTAGAACCAGTAATTCAACCAGGGTATCACGAGCAGACTTTGCCCCGGCCTCATGCAAACTATTCCCCCCGTCAGTGTGTGTGTGTGTGTCTGTCTGTCTGTCTGTCTGTCTGTCTGTCTGTCTGATATTTCTGTGTATCAGTGGTGGTTGAGTAGGTTTTGTGTGACAGGTGTGTGTGGTGTGTGACAGGTGTGTGTGGTGTTTGATAGGCGTGTGATGTGTGGTAAGTGCCTGTGGTCCGTGGGAAGTTTCTGTGATCCGTGGTCAGTGCTTGTGGTCCGTAGTGATCGTCCGTGGTCCGTAGTGGTCGTCCGTGGCCAGGCTGTCAGGGTTGGAATGTTTCGGGGTTGGTTCTCATGGGGCAAAAAGTTTAGTGGAAAAATTAAGCAATTAGGAAGGTCTAGTCCCCAGTGTGTGTGTTGACCATGGCTTGTGCCCCGACCATGGCTTATGCCCCGACCATGGCTTATGCCCCGACCTAATACCCTTATGAGTTAGCCATATAAGAATGTGTGTGCGTGTGTGAAGGCGTTTATGTAATGTAAGCCCTGTGTGTACATAAAAACATTCATGTATGTGTAGGAATGACTCCATGTTATGTAGGAATGGTGGTCCTCCTTCAGAATATCTTACACGTGTCTTTAATGAGATCTACACCTGTATAATACTTAGGAACACCTGTACACCTGTATAATAATTAGGATCACCTGTACACCTGTATAATAATTAGGATCACCTGTACACCTGTATAATAATTAGAAACACCTGTACACCTGTATAATAATTAGAAACACCTTTACACTTGTATAATAATTAGAAATACCTGTACACCTGTATAATAATTAGAAACACCTTTACACCTGTATAATAATTAGAAATACCTTTACACCTGTATAATAATTAGAAACACCTGAATAATAATAATTAGGATCACCTGTACTTGGGAATGCCATGCCTGTATATGTGTATAAATATCAACATATACTTCAAAATACTTGAATGAATATATGATAATGTGTTTACATATATTATCATACCATTGTAAGTAAATGTGAATCATGAGTGTATATATGTATGTTGAAATAAGTGTGTTATTTCTTCGTATATATGTGTTCAGCCATGACCCATTATACACGTGTACTGTATAATAGAAGGTTAAGTAGACCATCAACCTCCCCAAGTGAACCGCAGTGTGTGTGTGTGTTGGTCCATCCGGTGAAACCCAGTGCCACTACCGTAAAAAGCTCCATCCTTCAGGCCACGTTACTTGCTCCCCGACTTTTTTCCCCCTCTCCCACCCTCTTATCTGACATCGGTAATGACACAAGTTACAGCAACGTATCATCTTTTGCCGACGACACCAGTATCAGTAGACAGCTAACATCTCCGGCCAGACGAGAGCCAAGTTTTCCACAGGACGCGGGGCTTCGGCGGAGAATAATGTGACGGCGACTAGAGACGAATTTCAAATCCTCCTTCGGTGTGTGGGAAGAATGGCGAGATGAAACTGGGTAATCCCTTGAGTTTTTTACTTGATCTCTGTCGTAAGGTAACAAGACTGGTGTTGATTGCTTATTATAGCGTTAAACCTTGGCTGCTGGAACCACTAAAACCAAAATAACAACAAGAACAGATTGAGGGCGGAGTACAAGACAGAGCTAAGCCACAAACACAGAATGTAAGAGAATGTAAAAGATACGAGAATAAAAAAAAACCCAAAACAATTACGTCAGGGCGATAGGAACATCAGACAACCTAACCTAACCATCGAGCCCAGCAGAAAATAATGGGGTGTATGATGAGAACTTTCAGAGCACAAGATGTCAAGATGTTGCTGCTGTAAGGGCAGGAGGAATACATACCCACGTTCTACCAACATTACCGTATATAGCTGATGAAATTACCCAAGTGGAAAAATATAGAAAGATCATTTGAACCACTTGGATTAAATCACTTCTAAATCTAAATTGCCACAGCGGCTTACAAACATTCATATCAGACACAATGGAATGTAGGCACTAGAGGTATATACATTTTTACAGGCATGAAAATATATTACTAAATCTGATGCTTCCTAATATGATAATAATTCAGTGCTGTGTGTGTGAATCTCTCTCCCGGCCTCAGTGTGTTTTTTTTTGCCTTCCACCATTATATATAACTTTACTCACTTCAAAAACATCTTGCTTCACATAATCTTCAATTCACGCCTCGCTGGGTAGGTATAGATCTGACACTTGGGTTATAGTGTAATCTCTCTCTCTCTCTCTCTCTCTCTCTCTCCCTTGTTTATATAAGATGATATATTGACTTAGATAACAATACATATTACAAATGCCTTTTACCTCTCCCACTCCTCTACCCCATTCCCCTTTCAACATCCGGGGGGGGTGTCTGAGGGGCTTCAACCTGTTAACATCAGCCATCAGGTATTTTTAGGAGTGATGCAGACAAGTTTTCTCCGCCAAATACTTGATTGACCAGACTGTAAAGAATATATCGAGTTGAGATGCAAAACAACAGTAGATTGCTTGATCGGGTCCTCATCCGGGAAGCGTGGGGGTGGGGTGGGGGTAGACTGAGGTGAGGATGGGGGTAGATTGAGGTTCCTGGTGGGGTTGGAGGTTAGATGGGTACCTGGCAGGGATTGAGGGGGTAAACTGCGGTAGAATTTTGCTCTTGTTTACATGCAAATCCTTCCTCAAAAAAAAAAATCTAAAAATATCTACATCAAATATCTCACTAATAACACCTTCACACAACCCTCATTAACTACTAATTAATAACCAGGTGTGAAACATTACCTGCGCTAACCTCCTACCTTTTTTTTTTAATTACCTTGTGAACATCCATAAAGAAGATGAATTTTGTTCCCCGCCAGGTGAGTTCTGTCATCGGTGTGAGTGATGGCCTCGCTAACACTCAGGCATTATAACCTTGTTGAACCTCACTGATTTAATACATCAGCCTGGGAGATGGATTGGCTGGGTTTTCAGGTTCGTATACTAATCTGAGGTGATGATCTTATTGATGGATTAACCTTTAACGTTTTACATTAATCGGTACTGATCGCTGTAGAACTTGTAGTGAAGGATTTTTTTCTAGGGGGGGGCGTGCTCTGGTCGTGTGTGTGTGTGTGTGTGTGTGTGTGTGTGTGTGTGTGTTAGTCATCGCCTCACTTCCATCCTAGTTGGTGTTTTAGTGGTGTTGGAAGGGGTGATTGGTCCTGTGGTGGTGTTGGTGAATGATTGGTCCTGTGGTGGTGTTGAAGGGTGATTGGTCCTGTGGTGGTGTTGGTGAAGGGTGTGATTGGTCCTGTGGTGGTGTTGGTGAAGGGGGTGATTAGTCCTGTGGTGGTGTTGGTGAAGGGGTGATTGATCCTGTGGTGGTGTTGTGAAGGGGTGATTGGTCCTGTGGTGGTGTTGTGAAGGGGTGATTGATCCTGTGGTGGTGTTGGTGAAGGGGTGATTGATCCTGTGGTGGTGTTGGTGAAGGGGTGATTGATCCTGTGGTGGTGTTGGTGGGGGGTGATTGATCCTGTGGTGGTGTTGGTGAAGGGTGATTGATCCTGTGGTGGTGTTGGTGAAGGGGTGATAGATCCTGTGGTGGTGTTGGTGAAGGTGATTGATCCTGTGGTGTTGGTGAAGGGGTGATTGATCCTGTGGTGGTGTTGGTGAAGGGGTGATTGATCCTGTGGTGGTGTTGGTGAAGGGGTGATTGATCTTGTGGTGGTGTTGGTGAAGGGTGATTGATCCTGTGATGGTGTTATGAAGGGGGTGATTGATCCTGTGGTGGTGTTGGTGAATAACTAACTGGTCTTGTCTTTGGTGGTCATATTTCTCCTCCAAACCTTTTAAAATAAATTCTTAATGTCATTACCATAATAGACAGATAACTTTCAACGCATCAAATTAAACCACTTTTCTATCTTATTTTAAATCCCTTCAGTAATCCGACCCCCTTTGATCACCGACTTGACGTGTCTGTATCGATGTATGTATGTGTGTGATGGATTAACCTTTAAACCGCATTATTATTCTCGGAGGCTGATCTAATTGATTTCCAAGTAAGTGAGGGTGGAGGCTGGTCGTGCGAGATGGAGCCAAGATGTTCGCTAGAAACTCGTTTGTCTGACCTGTGTTTTCCCCGATTCTGAGGCTGATAAACGGACGATTGCGACGGATCTTAATTATGTGGGACTGATAGTGATCACGAGATGGCCCTATCGACTTTTTTTTTTTTTTTATTATCACGGGCCAGGTGCGTGTCCGAATGGCTGGGTGTTGACTTCCTTCTGCTACCTCTCTCTCTAGATTTATCGTTTTTTTAAGATTATTATTTTTTTTCTCTTTATTTAAGTTTTCGTGGTTATGGTTTTTGGTGTTAAATTTTTTGTAACGTGTGTGTGTGTGTATATGTATTAGCGTGTATATGTGTGTGTGTGTGTGTGTGTGTGTGTTCGAATACCTCAATTTTAACTTGCTAAGGTACAGTAATTTTCCGCTTTAGATATTGATAGAAATAATTTTTAACTAATTTTTTCTTTTTTTTTCCTTTTTTTGGCTCTTGAGATTTATGGTAATAAGTAGCGGTATCAAGGGTGATCGTAGGTGTTCGAATCCCTTGACTATCGACTTTCTAACACACTATATGTCTCGTAGGTGTTCGAATCCCTTGACTATCGACTTTCTAACACACTATATGTCTCGTAGGTGTTCGAATCCCTTGACTATCGACTTCTAACACACTATATGTCTCGTAGGTGTTCGAATCCTTGACTATCGACTTCTAACACACTATATGTCTGTAGGTGTTCGAATCCCTTGACTATCGACTTTCTAACACACTATATGTCTCGTAGGTGTTCGAATCCTTGACTATCGACTTTCTAACACACTATATGTCTCGTAGGTGTTCGAATCCCTTGACTA